TTTTGGTGAGATTTTTGACTTGTCAATAAGTTAATTAAAGGGTTAGGAGTATTAGAAATGATTAAGAGCTTTGTTGAAAACATGGCATGATTCTTAAATGTAAGTATTTTAGTGAGAATTTGATATGTTTAAGAGTAGTAATTGATGACAAGTTGGTTTGAATGAAAGAAGTTTAGTTTAAAGGCTTAAGGAAGGATGTTATAATAGATTTGAGATGATTTTTGGGTGATTTTCGAAGCAAAAATGGCAATTTTGGGCTTCAAGTATCGGTATCGTTAGAAAAATACCGTTACTTCAAGGGAAAAATCGGTGAAATTATTAAGGGTAGTATCAATACCGGTTGAAGAGGTATCGATACTGTAAGGGTAGTATCAATACCAGAAGGATGGTATCGATACCAGAAGGATGGTATCGATACCATTTTTAAGATGCAATTACAAAATGCCATATCGGTATCGGTACCATGAAGATATATTGATACCCTTGAAGGAAAGTATCGCTACTGTTGGGGTAGTACCAATACTTCTAAGCATGAAACGGAAATGTAAGGTTTCTTGCATCATAAGTTATTCTGATTGGATAATAATGAGTCGAAGAACGATATTAATTTTCAATTGTTTTGTGTAGTGATTGATCCTAATCAACTTCCGATAGCTCAACATATTAAGTATTGATTCGAAAAGTGTTAAGGATTTGGATTTGAACTTACGTGAGGCAAAGGTGAGTGCAACTTCTTGGTTTTGCAACAGAATTGAGGAAGGCTTGAGATAAGCCAACCTTAGTGTTTGCGATCGAAAATGTTATAATTTCTTTTATGTTATATTTCAATTTTTTATTCAAGTTATATTATGCAAGCTATGTTTTATGATTATATGATTATGGAAATGTGAATTGTGAACAGACTCTATCAAAGAGAAAATATGTGAATAAGAAGCACTTCGAATAATGATTGAACATAATTATGTGAATCATAGCCCAAAGTTTATGTATGAGGATTAGAGGTATAGTTGGCTTGCCAAGAGTCGAGGGTTTTATGTGGTCCTTCGAGATAATTATGTGGTACTTTAGTGCAATTTATGTGGCACTTCGGTGCAAAACCTAAGTGGTCATTCAGGACAATTATGTGGCACTTCGGTGCAAATTACGAGCTGTGGTGACATCACTAGTGCACAACCTCAATGTACTCAAATACATAGCGTTCTCAGTAGTATATCTTGGGCATTTGGAACAAAGACATACAAATTGAAACTACTCATAAGTATACTTTTGATATGAAAAATAAGGAGAGTTTTTCGTAAAACATTTTGAATAAAACAAATAAGATTTTATTTACTAAGTTAGCACTGTTAGTATTGCCTCACTAAGTCATCGACTTAGCGTGTGATTTCTCTCACGCGTAGGTTTGAAGAAAGCAGAAGAGTGAAGTTAGCGTGGATAGTGTACACCTTGAAGATCATATCAGAACAAATTAACTGTATGTGTTTTGTAATATTGTAACTGTTGGCACGTATTAAGCGTTTAATTTGCAAATGCTCTGACCTATTTTGTAAACTCCTACATTATGATATTTATGTAAATTATTAAGATTTTATGTAAAAATGTATGTGAAATGATTATCTTATTAAAGAAGTTTATAGTTTTTTTTATGTTGATACAAATTTTAATTTTGTTCCTAATTGTGAATTGCATATGTTTTGAAAAGTCAAATGTGACACCTCGGATTTGTACCCGGATCGGGTAGGGGTCAGGGGTGTTAAATTTCTCTCCAAACTTAACATCTTCAAAAATGTTGCATTTTTGTCTCTTTTCTAATTGTGGGATCATAAAATTTATAACACCTAGATTGCTCCAAATAGCCAATAAAATAGATGCTCACTGTTTTGGAGTCTAATTTATTTTTATGTAACCTATAAGGGATTGCCTTAACTAGGCATCCCTAAACGTGAAAGTATTTTAAACTAGACTTTTGACTTATCCAAAAGTCATAAGGTGTTCTTGCAACTATTTTAGTGGATACTCTATTAAGAATGTAAATCGTTGTCTCTAATGCTTCTCTCTAGAGAGACTCGGGTAAAATAGAATGAGTAATCATACTCCTTATCATATCCTTAAGAGTCTTATTACGTCTCTTAAGTACACCATTCATACTAGGTGATCTTATAACGCCGTACTATGGGATAATAGTATATTCCTCTAGGAATTCAGAAAATGGTCATGGACTTTGTTCACCTGAGCCATTATATCTATCGTAGTATTCACCACCATAATCAAATATGATTTTTTAATTTCTTTTGTTGTTTTGATCCTTAATTTCATCTTTATAAGGTTTAAGTATGTCTAATGAGATATAGGTAGTCATAACGTGAGTAACTACTTATGAATGTTATGAAATATCTTGACCATTCCAAGATGCCATAAGGAATGACCCACAAATATCAATATGAATTAATTTTAAGATATTTGTAGTTATTTTGACACCTAATCTCTTAGTTTTGGTATGTTTTCTTTGATACAGTCAACACATACATTAAAGTATGTAAAATCAAGGGACTCCAAAATACCATTAGACACTAAGTGATCAACTCTACTTTTTTAGATGTGATCTAAGAGCTTAAACGATGTCGAATTATTTTATTTAATTTACGTTTAGCACCACGTGATTCCACATGCAAGGTTTCATTATATGATTCAATTGTATCTAGTAAATAAAAGTTGTCATATGCATTTAAATAATCTTTTCCAATAACATTTGAATTTAGTAAACTGAGTGTTTTCAAATGAACAATGATGTCTAGATTTGTCCAATTAAATAAATAGAAACCAAATTCCACATAAAATATGTACAACAAAAATATATATATTAAATCCAAATAAAAACTAATTCCTAATAACAATTTAAAGTTTCCTAATAGCAATTTAAAGTTTCCTATTCCTTCTACCTCTACCGATTGTTCATCGCCCATAAAGGTGAGTCTTTCACCATCAATTGATTTTCAGTAGCTCAAGTACCTGCATAGAAACACTTATGTAAATAGTAGCATCAGAGTCTATCCATCATATGTTTCTAGATATTGAAATTAAATTAACCTTAAAACAAACCAAAGTAAGAATCATACTTTTCTTTGTATGTCAAGCTTGATATTTAATAAATCTTTCTTTATGTATCCAAACTTATTATAAAAAAAATAACTTTTTTTATTTCGTTATTGTTTTTTTAGTTGGACCCTTAACAACTTCATTATGATGTTTCCTTTTCTTTCTTTTATCTTTAGGGGCGTAGGCCAAGTGACCACTTTCAGATTTATCTTGCTTCGACCTTTCTTCCTCTTGCACATAATGAGATATAAGAGCTCATTTAGAGTTCATTTCTTCTTTTTGACAGTTATAACTGATTTTAAATTGGATAAACGTAACAACTCTCACAGTCGGCACTTGTCCAGAGCACTATAAAAAGTCATGCAACGAAGATTAAAGGGAAGGACTCACTTCTTCTAAAAAGGCCACACTCATTCCAACAGGAAAAACCCTCCGTCCACCTTATACAATTGTTGATATTTTAGCGATCAACAAAAGGAGTCAGATTTTTCCCCTCATTCCATGTTTTGCGTGCAGGCATTTTCTCTTTTGAATTATGGAATTTATCAATGTCCATTTCCTTAGATAGAAATAAGGAATTTTTAACTTCATGCTAGTCATCTCCTGAATCCCTTGAAGAGACCTTAGAATCACTTCTAGTAATCTTGAAAGCACTACTTGTAGACTACGACCTCTAAAAGTTTTTGGATGGAAATTAGCTTTGGGGGCCAATTTCTCAGGACAAGGCATTTAAAAGAATTTCATGAAGAGTCATCTTCCTCTGATGCTGGAAGTCAGAAGCAATATGTCCGTCAAAGAAGTAGGATGTGGAAAGGTGTTCAAATTTGTATCAAAACTGAAAAAAGCATGAGGATTCTCATGGCAAGTTGCTTTCCTTTTCCAGTTTTCAAAATCATATCAAAGCATCCGATTTGATGTGTCTAACACTGAGTGGGATTCATAAGATAATATGTTAATTGTATCAGTTAAGCTGGACTCAATGGAAGACTTCTATTCCGAACCAGGTTGAATGAAGTATTTCACTAATTGAGCAATGCCTTAGGGCTTATGTGCAATCATGGCATGCATACATTAACTGCAGATTTGTGGAGAAAAGCAGCTGAAGAAGATCATCAAGAGGCACCTCCGAACACATGAATCAGGAGGGGTTGCATCAGAGAGAATTAAGTGTGATTTTGAGGGTTGTCTTCACACATTTTCAACTGTAAGATGTTGTGAACCTTTAAATACATAACAAGTTGAATGTGATTGTTATGGACTAAGCAAGAGTTCTTTGCTAAAATTGTTTTTCTGATCATAAGCATTTTTTTTAACCGATGTGTTGAAATATTCTTTTACAGAAATCAAATCTCCGCCTACGCCGTGCATGGAGAACTCAAGCCTTGTGCATGTAGCTTTGGTTGTGGCATGAAATTTTGTACCCCAAACCCTAAACTCTTATTTTATTCTAATTCGAATTCTATCTCACTTAGGACGACAGGGCTTGTTAATGTTAATTGAATGTCAGGTCGGATGGAAAAGGAAGTACAAAAAGGGGCCTGATAATTGACATGAAACGTAGAATAGTTGCATTAAGCATGTTAGAGATAAACATGAGAAATCAGGGTGCCAGATCTATACTCCAGTAAGTTATTAGTTATTCAATGGCTCAATGCCATTGTTACCTTCTGTCTTCTGGTATTGGCCTTTTTCATTTTAGACAGTTAATAGTTATTAGCTATAGCATTTTCTCTCTTTTTTTTTCTAGGATTTTTTTATTAAATGAGTTGGTCGGTCAACTCTTGTTTTGCATGATCAAACGGTGTTAAGTAAGTTAGTCTAACGTGTCACATTAACTTTATGTTATTGAAAATAACTATTAATGGCCGAGTGACTAGTTTGTTATAAATCGATTATTTCGTTACTTTTAAAATTCCAGTACAACACAATGATTTCATGCAGTAAGTTAACATCAGATACCTGGTTTTGTGTGGTATCAGTGGCTTACTTCTTTACATTATAGATACATTGCTAATCCATTTTATTTTGCAGTCGATTTTCCCTACAATGCATTTTTTGAGGATGCCGATGAACGAAGGCAAGCTCTCTTCTGCTTCAACCATGTCATGCTTCTGGTTTTAACACCTACACCTAACCTTGACTGATCCTTCTTGGATTCCACTGTGGTTTTACTCCTTGAATGCGACATATTATTATCATTCTCCATAACCTTAACCTTATTTTGGCAATTCGAATTTTCACCATCAGCAGCAGAATAAGGACGTACTTCTGGATGTTTATTTCCTGTGTTTGAATCGTCAGCAATAATTGCATTTTGAGAATCATGGGAGGTCAACTTCTGCAGCATGTGATCAAGAACCAACTTTTGAGAATCTCCAGCAGAAAACATCAGAAGATCACGTATCTTAGCAGCAGGGACAGGGAGCCTGTCTAAAGAAGGTGGCAGGGAAGAAATTGCACTGCTGCCACGACAAACAGATTCTTCATTAGAAGAACAACCTTCCAAATGTGAAGCATATTCCTCCCAATCATATGGAAACCCAAAAAGGAAATGACTGCAAACCTGAAATGGATGCAATGAATTAAGATCGAGAAATTTGAGCTCCAATTCTTGCCAAAAGGGAGAAACAAAATTAATAAATTGGTTTAGCTGTCCCTAAGATGCATTTTAAGTTTAAGCAAAGGCAGAGTTAAAAGAAGATAACATAGTATAGTACAACTATTAGAGATACGACAAGATGGAACTGTTGGCAAATATTAACAGGATAAGCATGAATAGCAGTGCAAAGAGAAACTCAACCTTAGATGAAAAGCCATTTTCAAGTGTACAAGAGGTATTGATGAAGCCGCTGATAGCAACTGTGATGCCATTGGCAGTTTCAAGCATAGGGATACGATAAGATGAAATTGTTGGCAAATAGTAACAGGATAAGCATGAATAGCGGTGCAATGAGAAACTCAACCTTAGATGAAAAGCCATTTCACGCATACAAGAGGTATTTATGAAGCCGCTGATAGCAATTGTGATGCCATCGGCAGTTTCAAGCATAGGGATATGATAAGATGATATTATCGGCAAACGTTAACAGGATAAGCATGAATAGCATTGCAATGAGAAATTCAACCTTTGATGAAAAGCCATTTTCAAGCGTACGAGAGGTATTGATGAAGCCGCTAATAGAAACCGTGATACCATCGGCAGTTTCAAGAGTGGTGGCCTCACGTCTTTTGGCGATGGCTGCGGTGTGCAACACTCTTTGTCCTTGTCTCCTGTTTTCCATCCATTACCTCATTACTACTACTATTAAAACCACTACACAAAAACAACTGCTCATAAAAATTTACAAATGTGCTGTGTCTAAGACTGGTATGCTTGAGACAAAAAGTAAATCCCTCCTTGTCTTTCCTATTGATATTTGTATATGCATATTTATAGAAATGAAAAGAACAAAAAATTGAAGGGCGAGTTAGTGAGGGTACCCTCTGCATTCAAACCCTCCGACAGCTAACCCTCCGGTCTTCGCCGTGCACAACCACCAATCATACAGCAACACCTACCCGATATTCATTCTTTATTTAGAATTAAAAAATAGTGCAACTAAAGAAAGAATTGAGAAAACCTTAGAGTTCAGCGATAAATTAGCAAGAGCAGTGGGGGAGGCGATGGGGACGAGTTGGTCCGATGTATATTGCCTCTCAGAATATCTTCTCTTTTCCTTTCTATTCCCCATTTCGGTGGTTTGCTTCGGGCAGCAACTCCTCTGCCTACTAGCGTTTCAAACAGCGGTGGATAGAAATATTGCCGCAGCTATTTCTGGATAAAGGTGCATTCCTCCGCCGCAAAGGACCTCAATTGCGGCCGCGAATAGCAGTGTAATGAAGAGAGCGGCGATGACGGGGCGTTATATCTGCTAAACCGATAGTTTTTTTTTAAAAAAAAATTATCATTTTCAACGAAGTAATCGGGGACAGAGTAACAAGTAGTAGGAAGGAGAAAAATAAAAGAAAAAAAATTAAAACAGAAAGATGCAGTTGCAGAGAGCAGATAGCTGAAAATCCGATGACTCAAGTAGAAATCAAAGTTCAAGTTAAGTTTCGAGTTTGAAAAATTACCTTATTTTACTTTCTGGACTGTCGGAAACTTGAAGGAAAGAGAAGGACTGGGTCAGGGACGGGAGGCGAGGGATAAAATAGGAGGAAGTTAACGGCGAGGCCGGCGACAGGCTTTTTCGGTTCCGGGGATCTGTGAAGAGTATTGAGAGTGGGTCACGAATTTCAAAATAAATAAATAAATAACTTAATACACTTTTTAGTACTAAAATATACCTCAAAATACGGTTGTTTAAAGAGTTTTTCGTTAAAAATATATATTTAACGTTTCTAACGTTATATTTTTAGAAATTTAAATTATAATGACTGTTAAATTTGATTGTTATTTCACACATATTATACATATATAATTTTAAAAAATTATTTTATTAAAAGAAAAACTTATTGTTATATTTTTTTTAAATAAAGAGCCATAAATTTTATATTTTTCGATGTCGATTGGTCATAATTGGTCTATAATCTTCACTGTTGACACTATCAGAATCGTCTCACCATCGCAATTAAAACCTAGTCTCTCATCCACCGTGAAACTACATCGATCGTCGTAAAAAACATCGCAAAGAGTCATCAAAGTTCTAGATTTTTTTATTGTTGTTTTCAGACGATTTCAATAGCTATAGTTGTTCGTACGTTACATGGCCGTCATGGTTAAGTTTCTTGTCCTGCTTCGAACAAAGTCTAACTTGTGGTGACCCTTCGTCATAAGAGATAAGGGAAAAGAGGGAGAGAGACGACAATGAATAATTTGATTTTTTTATTTTTTTTAAAAATAATATTTTTATTATTAAAAAATAAAAAATTGTAACGGTAGACACTCAAGTGTAACAAAGAAAAAATTAGACACATTTTTTTTAGAAAAAAATTCTTTAAACATCAAATCGTATTTTGAGGTATAATTTAGACCGTAAAAGAGTATTAAAAAATAAAAAATTGTAACGGTAGACACTCAAGTGTAACAAAGAAAAAATTAGACACATTTTTTTTAGAAAAAAATTCTTTAAACATCAAATCGTATTTTGAGGTATAATTTAGACCGTAAAAAGAGTAATTTTTTAAAAATCGCTTTAAAAATCACTTTAGGTTAAACAACGAAAATAATTACTAATTTTTGAGTATTTTTTATGATAAACTACTAAATTAATCACTCTCCCTTTATATTTGTATGCTTTTGTTTAATTAATTCAAAGTAGTTAAGTTTTAGTATCTTATGTTGCCGATTTATTAAATTTTCGTCAATTTCATTATCGATTATTACATTTTAATTATTGAATCGTTAATGTTTGTTAGTTTGATGATGTAGCACATTAGTAAAAAAGGGTTAATTTTTAATTTGACCTTTAAACTTTAGACATAATAATTTTTTGATCCTAAACTTAGGATATATTTTTTAAACATTAAACTTTAGTTAAAATTTTAATTTCACCCTGAATTTAACCAAAATCTCCTATTATCGGTCGTCACCCACCATCGTCGTTATCAATCACTATCAGTCATCATCGATTATCGTCATTTTTGTCATCATTATTATTTTTATTTATTCATTATTTCATTTTTAATTTATTTCTTTTTCTTTAAAAAAAGTCTTTTCCCCTCTTTTAAGGAAATTATTCAACCAAAATTTCTCACCTTTAATCTAATGATTCATTCACTAGAAATCTCAAACTCATGAACACTCAAGTATTTATTAGTAAAGTGCTCGTTGAATTCTCAGAATTTCAGTTACTACAGAAGAAAAAAATAAACTTTAATAAGAACAATGGCAAAAATATATTATTTCAATCTTTTTCAATTTATAATATCAACAAATCAAAGTTGATGCATTTTAAATACAATTAAGACATGTTTAATAATGGATTTATTAGACGTATTTGGGGTAGACTACCAAAGGGTTGGATAAAGGTTCATGTTAATGGAGCTGTCCGTGATAGTGATCGTGCGACAGCTGCAAGGGATGTGTTTCGTAATGCTCAAGGAGAGTGGCTCTTTGGCTTTTCGAGAAATCTTGGTAATTGCACGGTTTTAATCGAAGAGCTTTGGGTGATATATGTTTAATACCTGATTTTCGTTTGGCTTATCTTTATTCCAATGCTCAAACATTTTATTAAAGTTGCTTTTGAAGTATAAGACATCAGTTTTGTCTCACTTTTAAGTATATTTAATTTTTTTCATGAACCAATCTACTTCAGTTGTTAAATAGATGATTATTATCCTTAAAAGTTCTAAGTTTGAGCACCAGGGATTAATAAAAAAAATATTTAATTTTAAAAATATATTTTAGGATTAAATTATTCATATTGATCAACATATTATTTTTAATTATTACATTAGGAGTAATTTGAAAGTTAAGTAATTAAAGTAAAAAAAATTAAACTTCAATAACCAAAATATGAGTGAGAAGATAGGTTAGTGACAAAAGATATAATTTACTCGTAAAAAAGTGTCAGTTCCGCTAAGTTTTTAAGGATGAAGAACTGTTTCGTAAAGAACCTTGTCACGAAGAATATATTGTTACATATAATTTATGGTTTGGTTTTTATAGATAATTTCGAATATAACTAATCCGCATATTCTACAAGCAGCATGAGGGTTGAATAAAACCAGAAACAGTTCCATCAGCATTACTACAAGATGCTTCCGCCGGTTTGTTTCTATAAGTCAGTTTCACGTCCTCCAGCCTTATATCAGTGCAAGGATAGCTTGGGCTACAATCAAACTTCACTGCTACTTCCGTTGCTGATGTTCCGTGGATGTCTTGGTACGTAACATCGCTAATTTTAACACCCGAAACCTGTATCAAATCGTTTAATTCATTATTCTTCCAAACCTGTTTAGATCGATTACCATAGTTATTCCGATTGGTTAACTAATGCACGTACCAGACCGGGGCAGTTTTTCTCGTCGGGGCAGTAGTGTTGATCAATGACGATGGGATTTTCAACGTCGGTCATGATCGCGTGCTGAAAAAAGTATGTTCCTGGCAAAACCGGAGCTCGGTCTCCCCCATGACTTTATTCTCACCCCGTTTTGAGTACCGGTTAATGTGATGGTTTTAACCGTCACATTCTGCACACCGGGTTCTTCTGCTTCCTTCCCAAGACTCCCGATGCTGCTCCAATGTAAAACCATATTAATTCAAAATTTAAAGATATATATCATATATATATAGGAAAATTCTAGAATGAATGTCATTAGTGGTGTATATTAGTGCATCACATTCATTGTAGACTCATCCATCATGTATATATCTCTATATGCAAGTGATTATCGATCGTTAATTACCTGATCCCGTGGCCAGGTCCACATGCCATGTTCTCAATGCAGAGATTGTTGGTGCCAGGGCCAACGGAGACACAATCGTCGCCTGTTCCGATTCTGGAGTTGAGAATGGTGACGCTGCTCGAGGATTGCACATGAATGCCATCGGTGTTCGGGCTATTGCCGGAGGCAGACACACTTACACTGTCCCCTTTTACGTTGTTGCAACCATCGATGACAACAGGGGCGGATGCACTAAGCCAAGTGCATCCCATTATTTAGGAAAAAAAGTAAAATTTAGTATAATATGTTAAAGAAAAATAGAAAAAATAAAAAAATTTGCACCCCTATTGTTTTTAAGTGAAAAAATTTTAAATTTTAGACCCTCATTTATAAATTTCTGGATCCGCCACTGGATGACAATATGGTACAATTGGCTGTTCAGCGATGTTAATCCTCTTATTACAATGTTCTTTTAATTGCTGAACCCTAAAGACTGCAAAGCCAGATAATAATTTGCAAAGTGTATTATATAACCTTGATTCATTAACTAATACTAATAACCATACGCAAAACTCACCGTTGCTCCGCTGGGACAGCCCTTGCCTGACCCTCTTGCAAGTCCACAAGCCAGTGCCTTGACCATCAAGTACTCCGCCATAAATCGAAACACCGTTTACATGCTCAAAGAGAAGCCAGTTTTCGGTACTTCCAAGAACCTTATAATCCGACGGAGCAACAAGCGTGCCGTCCATACGAAATACAATAGCATTATTCTTGCACTGTCCACGGAAAACAACGTTGCGCAACAGAAACCTTCCGGTCGGGATGTAAATGGTAGCGGATTTGATGGAGCCACAGGCCAAAGTCCAAGCAGCAACAAAAGCTCGGGTTGACTCGAAATTGCCATCGGGTTTGGCTCCATAGCTAAGAACATTGTAAGTAAATGGATAAGCTGATGAAGCGAAGACAAGGAGAACAAATGCAAGAAAATGAACACAACTGGTTGTCTGTTCCATTTCGTTTTCAATTAGCTATAAGAGAGGAGAGAGTTGAGGGATGAGAAGATACAGGTGCTGAAAGGGGTACTTATAGATGCATGCAATGGCAAGTTATCATTAATTGTAGGACAAGAAACTTAACGACGCCGAAATTTTTGATCTTTTTTCCCGATTACTTGGGGTATGGTCTTGTGATATAATCATACGTGCATGCAGCCGCCATTTCTTGATTATTATATTATATATGAATATATATTTTGGCAGAAAAAAGTTGGAAATTCTTTTTGGAAAAGGAAGGTGATAATGTGTAAGTAATCTCTTGATCCATGCTTACACAATTAGTTTAATAGCAGGAAAATGATTGACACACTTGGCAAGTTCTACAAGCGTTAGATTTTTCCAAACCAATAAATAACAGAAAGGAGATTCTTTATGATGTACTGATAATTCATTATCATCCAAGTATAAAAAGCATGATCTCGGATATGTATCATTTTAACTGCATTAGCATATGCTTTAAGGTGATGTTGCTTAAGATGGTAGATTTCCAGATTTCCAGGGTGGGTTATATATATATATATAAGAAAATAAGGAATAGTGTTTACATAGAGTTAACGTGAGTAGCTGGCAAAAAGCATGTGCGAGTTTGCAATGGAGGTGTCACCATACGCATTGAATTAGCATTGGCTTGGCGGGCACTCTCGCCCACACACCGTATTTCATGTTTTCGGCTGTTCTGTCATGTTGTGACTTGTGTTCAACGCTTTGCGTTGAGCTTTAAGCTTAAAAATTGAACAACAACAAGAATTCCTTGTTTCATTGTACTGATAATGGATAAATTTGCATATGAATTCTACCTATATCTTGTTGATGACAACAATTTTATCTCATTTA